CTAGCATGACTACCATGGACTCATAGAATGCTTCATCGATTGCCACAGAATCATGCATTACATAATCTGGAACCAAGAAACTGATTTTGCAGCAAAGGCAAATAGGGCAGTAGAGTGCATTAGTTTTACTTCATGCCTTATTACCCAGAAGCAGGTGACTTGATAGGTGAGGTCACACCTGGTGACAACACCTTGAGAGCTTAGGGCATTTGCCTAGCATACGGATGTATCTTAAACCAGCAGCCAATACATGGTGTCATTTCTCTTATAGACAGAATCCACTGCCTAAAAACCAAGGAGCAGAAGTGGGAATGACTTCCTTTCCATTTTACCTAATAACCCACCTCCCAAAGTTTTGGATACCATCCCCACAGTCTTTAGATTGGTGAACTGAAAGGTTTGGGTGGGCAAAGGGCAAAGGAGACCTACTTTCACCAGTAAATACACAGCCATATGCTAGTAACTTGGAAGCAAAGATTGCTCTCCAGCAAACAGAGAAGGTCACCATACTGGCTGGTGATTGATCCTGATTACCAAGGAAAATTGGGTAGCTGCTACATAATAAGGTATGGATGACAATGTCCAGATCCCAGGGAACTCCCATGTCCAGTGACAATAGTCAGCAAGAAACCATGGCAAACTAATAAAGATAGATTCTTAGTATGAGTTAAAGTTTCCCACCAGCTAAAAAAAAAAAAAAAGTCATGTAGGTCAAGATGCTCATAGAATGGAAGGGGGAACATTGCCATGATTATCGAATAAGGCCTCATGACCTTATGGAAATGGGCCTCTAGCATGCATGTTTTATTGTTACTTACTTCTTCCCTTTGCCTTTTGTGTGAAATAGCACTCATGTGAAAATAACCACTGATGGTGGTTAGTATTACAGTTAAGCTCCAAGTGAGAATATGATTGAATCAACATACAGAACCTGATAGGACTTTATGTTTCCCTCGTTTTGTTTTGAATTCTCTTCATCATGTGAAAGAAAGAATAGATGGACTATGTGGTTGTTTTCCAATGGTCTTTCCAGCTCCATTTCCTGCCCTTCTCTGACCAACTCTGTACCTTGAGATGATGCTCTCTAAGGACTCTGGCACCTGTGCTCCTTTGCCCTGCAGCTATCAAATGGCTCAGCCAATAGGAGGCATAAGGAGGAATCTGAGGAGTAAAAGGAAAAGATGTTAGGGTATTTCTTCCCCATTCCCTTCCTACCGGATAAGCAGCAGCGATTTTTGTTCCTTTATGTATAACTAACATTCCTTTCAGGAAATTTCTTTCCTGTCCGTGGCTCTTGCTGAGTTTTGGTTACACCTCACCTTCCCTCCTACCTTCAGACCTCAAGTTGTGATGGCTTCCTACTGTTGACAGTCCCAAGACCTTTACTGTTTCTTTTTTTTTTTATAGTCTTTTTTTTTTATTGATTTATGATAGTCACACAGAGAGAGAGAGAGAGGCAGAGACATAGGCAGAGGAAGAAGCAGGCTCCATGCACCGGGAGCCTGATGTGGGATTCGATCCCAGGTCTCCAAGATCGCGCCCTGGGCCAAAGGCAGGCGCCAAACTGCTGCGCCACCCAGGGATCCCCCTTTACTGTTTCTTATTGGTTCTCTCAACCCTGCCCACATCTCTATATGTGGTCTTTTTATTGAGCTTTCTTCTATTAAGCCAATTTATTCTTTAGGGCAAATTCTGAAGTATTTGCTATTAAGGCATAAATAACATTCAAAGGAATGCACAGATTTGAAGCATAAGTTCAGTGGGGTCTAACGAATGTATACTCACATGTGATCACCATTCTCATCAAAACATAGAACATTCCCATTACGTCAGAAGTTCCTTTGTGTTTCTGCCCTGTCAAAGGTAAGCATAGTATTTACTGTCACCACAGATTAGTTTTGCCCCTGTTGAGCTTCATATGAATGGAATCATAAAGTATAAACTCTTTTGTATAAGGCGTCTTTCACTCAGCAACCACATTATTGAGTGTATCAGTAGTTAATTCCTTTGATTGCTAAATAGCATTCCATTGTGTGACTATGACACAGTTTGTGTTTCTATTCATCTGTGGATGATGTTTGGGTTGCTTCCAATTTTAACTATTGTGACCAAAGCTGCTATGAAATTTGCATACAAATCTTGTTTGGGAGGTGAGTTTTATTTCTTTTGGATATACATCTAGAAGTGGAATCCTCTATCATAGGAGAGATGTAGGTTTAACTTTATATGAAAGTGCCAAGCAGTTTTCTAAATCGGCTGTACCAAACCTTTAGAGCATGCCATCTCTAATTAGGACAGGCCAAGACAGATATGAAAAAAGACAAACTTTAAAATGTCATTAGGGGGAACCCTGGGTGGCGCAGCAGTTTAGCGCCTGCCTTTGGCCCAGGGCGCGATCCTGGAGACCCGGGATCGAATCCCATGTCGGGCTCCTGGTGCATGGAGCCTGCTTCTCCCTCTGCCTGTGTCTCTGCCTGTGTGTGTGTGTGTGTGTGTGTGTGACTATCATAAATAAATAAAAATTAAAAAAAAATAAAATAAAATGTCATTAGGATTAGACAGTAATAGTCAATTGACTATATTTTAAATACAGTGGCACAGACTGTGAGGGAGTGAGTCAGTAGATCCTGCAGGTGCCTCCTGCCCCTCCCATTCCTTCTCAGCAATAATCAGGCTTTAAAAGGTCCCCTCCAACCCAGACATGTGAAGTCTCACTCCCTAGGCTGCCAGCTAGCTGTTAGAAGAGAAGTAGATAAGTAAATTAATTTACACTTACATGTGAATGGTTGTCATGCCTCACTGCACTTTAATGCCCCAGAGTATTTGTATTTTAAAAGTAAAGCGGTTTGTTTTAAGGTATGGGTAGGATGGGGCAGAGGGAGACTGTGTGTGTGTGTGTGTGTGAGAGAGAGAGAGAGAGAGAGAGAGAGAGAGAGAGAGGGAATCTTAAGCAGATTATGCTCAACACAGAGCCCAAGGCAGGGCCCAATCTCACAACCCTGAGATCACGACCCAAACTGAAATCAGAAGTCTGATACTTAACGGAATGACCACCCAGATGCCCCTAAAAGCAAAGTTTTAATTCACAAAGGGATTAATCACTTTGGAATAATAATTCCAAGGCTATAGCCTTGTCGTTGACATTTGGAACAAGGAAAGGAGATATCTTTTCAGTACACTTCAAAAACTTTATAAGCTGAAAAATGAGACCTATAGTATATCAGATGTGGGTTCAAATTCCAGCTTTTACCTTAAAAAAGAAAGTAGGTAGTCTTTTCCTGTCTGTGTCCTAGTTCATTGTCTTGGGGACAAGTGTTTGTTCCTTTTATTTTAGCATCAAACACTTGTTCTTCTTCCTTAAGTATGTGTCTTAAGTTTGAGCCTGTTTGTGGCAGCCCCCCACAGGGTCAGGCACTCACTACAGATCTGCTGACCAGTATGTGAAGGTGGAAGGGGCTTATAAAATGTACGGTGTAGCCACTCTGGAAAACTGTGTGGAGGTTCCTCAAAGAGTTAAAAATAGACCTGCCCTTCGACCCAGCAATTGCACTGTTGGTGATTTACCCCAAAGATTCAGATGCAATGAAACGCCGGAACACCTGCACCCCGATGTTTCTAGCAGCCATGTCCACAATAGCCAAACTGTGGAAGGAGCCTCGGTGTCCATCGAAAGATGATGGATAAAGAAGATGTGGTTTATGTATACACTGGAATATTCCTCAGCCATTAGAAACGACAAATACCCACCATTTGCTTCAACGTGGATGGAACTGGAGGGTATTATGCTGAGTGAAGTAAGTCAATCGGAGAAGGACAAACATTATATGTTCTCATTCATTTGGGGAATATGAGTAATAGTGAAAGGGAATAGAAGGGAAGGGAGAAGAAATGGGTAGGAAATATCAGAAAGGGAGACAGAACATAAAGACTCCTAACTCTGGGAAATGAACTAGGGGTGGTGGAAGGGGAGGAGGGCGGGGGGTGGGGGTGAATGGGTGACGGGCACTGAGGGGGGCACTTGACGGGATGAGCACTGGGTGTTATTCTGTATGTTGGTAAATCGAACACCAATAAAAATTAATTTATTATTTAAAAAAAAGCAAACAAAACCCTCAGGAACAATAAAAGCCCCATTTCTTATCAAAAAAAAAAAAAAATAAAATAAACTGTACGACGTTACCAGCACCCCAGTCATGATACTGATCTTTATGCCTGCAGCAGTGAAGAATGCAAACCCACCTTCCCTTACTGAACTATGCTACTGCTACGAACCGGGCAGGGGTGAGGTGAGCTGAAAAAAAGGAACCGATTCCGAGCAGGGGCTCCTGCGGCAGAATCCAGTGGGACACTTTAGAAGGTGGATTCCCAGCCCAGACCAACAGAATCCGAACCTCAGGCCGTCTCCAGATCCCGGGAGCCCTGACTGCGGAGGTCTGAAAACCGGGACAACCCCGCGTCGGCGCTGTGGGCGTCGAGAAACGCGCGTACCTGGGGAGGTCGTGCCGGAAGCGTCCTGGAGATGCCCCTTCCCAGGGGCTTTCAGGCCACACCTCTCGGAGTGCGGGTGCGCCGCGCGTCCACTCCTCGAGTGAGGGTGGCAAGTCGGAGTCCTCCTTCTCTCACACCCGTTCCTCCCCCGTGGGAGGACGCCAACTGCAGTCAGGAGGCCGAGGACAGCAGGAGGCATTGGCTGGGAACTGTCCCCCCGGAGGGCCCGGCCTCCCGGGCTGCGTCACCCTTTCGCCGGGGGTCCCCTGGGCAGGCGGGGGCTCCTGCGGCGGCTCTGCTCTCCCCGCCTCCCCGAGCGCTCACCCTCCGCCCCGGCGGCGCCCCGGAGCTCGCGGCCGGCGCAGCCTCCGGCGGTACCGAGGCCTCCAGGTGCCCGGCGCGAGGGCGGAGCCGGGTCCAGCCGCCTCCCCGGCGCCGCCGACGAGACCCCCCGCGAGCTCGGGGCCCCCGCGCGGCGGCTCCAGGCGCCCGGCCTCGGGAGCGGCGCGCGCTCCTCGGTCCGGCGGAGCAGAGCGCAGGGCGCACGGCCGAGGGGCGCGCCGCCCGGGGCAGCGGGGACGCGGGGACGCGGGGACCATGGCTGCCGGGGGCCGCGGACCCCGAGCCCAGCTGTGGGCGGCGGCGCTGCTCCTGCTCGCTCTGCCGCGCGGCCCGGTGCGGGCGGATGGTGAGTGTGCGCGGGGGCCGGGGGTGGCGCGCGGGCTGTGGGTAGGGACAGCGGCGCCCGCGGGGGCTCCCGGTGGCTAGCCCGGTCCCTCGCCCGACCCGTCGAGTCTCCGCTAGCCCCAGGTCCCCACCCCGGCCCCTGAGCCCGTCCCCCAAGCCCCGGGGAAAGCCTGTGCGATGCTCCCGTCCGGCAGCCCGCCGCTGGCTCCCCGAAGGTCCCCGTGAAAGGTCTTCACGGTCAAGTCACGTCTGGGGTGGCCTAGAACCTCCTCTGCAGACACCACTCTCCGCGTGTATTAAGCGGACTCCTGGCGGCAAGGCCGAGACGACTCCCTCGGTGGTTTGGCTTGGTCCAAAAATATCTGAAAGATGAGGGGAAATCAAGCAGTGTCTTGTGGGGAGGAAAGAGCATGTGCAAAGGCCCTGGGAGTGGCAGGGAAAACGGGATAAACGATACAGTGGCTGGAACCACTCCGTGAGAGTGTAAGGCAAAAGGCCGGAGAAGGAGATAAGAAACAGATTATTCCAGGTGATGAGAATTGACCTGCTTTTGTGCGTCTTTTGTTTCTTGAACCTGAATTCAGCTTTCAGTACTTCCCTTAAGTTGGCAGAATCAGAGCCTTGTATCCGCTAAGTTTCAAAAAGCTAATTCAGCTGTATTCAACAAAACCCCGTTGACTTAGTGGAGAAGGATCTGAAAGAAAAGAAACCAGTAGTTCTCACATCCGTGAGCAGTTTCTAGAAAATCCAAGCTTAGGACAAACTAAATTGATGAAGGAGAAAAACCCTCACCTGATTTGGGATGCTTTGTATATTTTTAAGTGTCATTGATTTTTAGTAAGTAATGTCAGATGAAATCAGAAGACTCCACAAAAAGAAGCATGTTGGTTAGGGAAAGGGGGAAAGTAAGACAAAAACTTCCAGATACTATCTTAGAGTTTTTGGTGCTTTTTATCCTAAATGCCGCTTGAAAAACTCTTTGCTCCTAATTAAGGATAAATATCTTCAGAGTGTTAGAGAAGAAAACATTCTTAACTTTGAAGGCTCCTTGTGATAACTGTTCATATCTTAATTGAGATGTGATTCATAAAATTTGCCATTTAAAAATTTACGATTCAGTGGTTTTAGTATTTTAGTATATTCATTATGTTGTTCAGCCATCACCACAATCTAACTCCTGAAAATTTCTATCTCCGAAATGAAATCCCATACCTATTAGCAGTTAATCCGCTATTCATATTTTACTGTAGTATTTTTTTTCTGCCTGACATTGAATCATGAAAATTGAGCTGATTTAAAGAATACAAGTAGAATAAATTGGAGCTAGTATTAACTTTTGAACAATGAATAGTATTGTACCAACTTAATTCCTTTTAAAGATATATCTCTGCAATCCATGAGGCTTTCGAGTTTCACCCTACTGTAACCGTTTAAATGGAATGCGAAATGGATATGGATCAATATTTTGCACCTCTCTGGCTTGATGCGGGTCATAGAAAAATGGAGGCAGAAATATCACTGGAGAAGGAAAGAGTAACAGTGGCACCAGAGCTTGTTTTCTTGTTGCCCCTTGCCAGAAATGCCTCCATTTCTCCTTTCTCCTTTCTCTCCTTCTCTCCCGTTCCCCAATTATGGGTACACTTGCTTTCAAGAAACTCCATTTGCTAAGTTCCAAGTTTTATAATAGAGCCATTGAAGAATTAGAACCTATAGTATGAAACGATTCTTTTCTTTTCCAAATATATGTTTAACTACCATCACTTTCCACATTTAGTTACTTACGTTCTATAGTGATGGAAGGAAGAAGAAGAAATGTTCCGCTAAACTGTGATGTGTTTGAAGAGAGACTTGGAGTTATTAAAAACTCTAAGGACCTATTAAAAAATAAGTCAATGAGATAAATTCAAATGAAAAACATTTAGCTTATGTTTGATTAATAAGATATGCATCTCGTATGTAAAAGAGATCTGCTACTGTATTTTTTCTACTGTATCTTTAAAATACTTTTGAAACTGAAAAATATTCACATTAACTGAATGCAGATTAACTGTGTTACAGGAAAGGATTCGTTAATTCAACAGATAATTTATTGAGCATCTATTGTAAGCTAGGTGCAGGCCTTGCTATTGGGGATAGAATGGTGAGGAGAAGTAAGTTCTTGCCAACAGGGAGCTTAAAATCCAATGGGTTAGAGAGTCAGTAGGCAAATCGTTACATGAATGAAACGTGAAGTTGCAGTTTTGATAGATGATGAGATTAAAGGGCAGAGGTACTATGAGAGCATATGCTGGGAAATTTTGATTTGGTTAGGAGGATCTGAGGAGGAAAAGCGAGTGTCTGTGTAGAGAATAGCATATACAAAAAAACTGTGAGCAAGGAAAATGAGCCATATGATAAGAGACAAGAGTGGCTGGAGCCAAGAGTCTGAAGTGGAAGTGGTTTGAAATTATGCTAGAGAAATTGGGGTGGGTGCACTGAGGTGGGTCCTCATAGACAAAAGTTTTGTTTTAATCCAGAAAAGAGAAGGAAACCATTGGATGATTTCTGGTTATAGAGTGACTGATAATATTTGCATTTTGAAAAGATCACCCTGATTGTGATGTAGGGAGAATGGATGGGACCTGGGCAAGACTAGATGTAGAGAGACCATATAGGATGCCATTTTAGTTGTGTGGATGAGAGCTGGCAGAGGTATAGAGGTGGATGGGGTGAATGCAAAGGGTCTGGACTGAAGAGAAAAATGTGAGCAATCTATATAAGTATAGTCTTTGAAACCTTATGCATGTATAGAATCCTAGGGAAAGGTTTCACGGTGAGAAGAGATGACCTAGAACTGAGCCTGGAGTGAAGGAAACAGATTTAGGATTATAGGTTACTGTGTCCATGAGACATATTGGCCTATAATTTTCATTTCTTATAATATTCTTGTCAGATATTGACATCAGGATTGTGATGATTTCTTCTTTTTTAAGATTTGTTTATTTATTTTAGAGAGAGAGGGGGCAGGGGGAGGGATAGGAGGAGGGCGTCTCAACTGTTTCTCTGAAAAGGTTGCTGCAAGGTGAGCTGTTTTGCTTTGTTTCGTTTATTGTTTGGTAATGAGGTCATATGTGTTTGAAGTTTTTCTCTTGGGGAGATTTTAAATGATGAATATAATTTCTTCAGTAGATAAAGAGATATTCAGATTTTCATATTTATTTTGGGTCAGTTTTGCTAAGTTTGCTTTTTATGAAGTTTGTCCATTTCATCTAAGTTGTCATAGGTACTGGCAGATGTAACATAAAATCTGTTATCTTTTCAGTGTCCATGGGGTCTGTAGTGATGTCCCTTTTCATTCTTGATATTGGTAATTTGTATTTTCTCTCTTTTCGTCTTGATCAATTTTGCTAGGTATTTATCAACTTTATCATTCTTTAGAAAGAAGCAACTTTGGCTTTATTTTCTCTATTGTATATCTGTTCTCCATTTCATTGATTTTTATTCTATCTTTGTTATTTCCTTCCTTCTACTTCTTTAGAAGCCTTAATTTTATGTTCTTCTTTCTGTGTTTTTAAGATACAAAATTAGATCATTGATTATCAACCATTCTTCTTTTGTAATATGAGCATTTGAGGCTATAAATGTCCCTTAAATACTAATTTAGTTTCTCTGCCAGTTTTTGTCATTCACATAAAAATGTTTTATTTCAATTGTGGTTTCTTCTTTGAACCTATGCTTTATTTAGAAGTATATTTTGTAATTTCCATGCACAAGGGGCTTTTCCTAATTATTACTTTGCTGTTGAGAGCAGCATTATACAGTGGTTAGGATCAGTGCCTGGTTTTATATACCAGCTGTGTGATCTTAAACAAATCACTAATACTAAATCTTAACTATAACATAGGGATAACTTATAACATAGGGATAACCTACATCATAGAGTTGTTCTAAGAACTGATTTAATGAATATTATTTGTAAAGCAATTTAAATAATACCTGGCCTATGGGTAAACACTGTATAAGTATTTGGTTTTTTTTTTTAATTTTTATTTATTTATGATAGTCACACACAGAGAGAGAGAGAGAGAGGCAGAGACACAGGCAGAGGGAGAAGCAGGCTCCATGCACTGGGAGCCTGATGTGGGACTCGATCCCGGGTCTCCAGGATCGCGCCCTGGGCCAAAGGCAGGCGCTAAACTGCTGCACCACCCAGGGATCCCTGTATAAGTATTTGATAAATAAATCAAGTGATTTTAAGTTGCATTGTGGCTTAAAAATATGCTTTGTATGATTTGAGTCTTCAAATGTTTTTTGATTTGTCTTGTATTTGATGAATTTTACAAATGTCCTGTGTGTGTTTAAAATGAATATGTAGGCGATCCCTGGGTGGCTCAGCGGGGATATGATATGTCTATCATAAATAAATAAATCTTTAAAAAAATGAATACGTATTCTATAGTTTGCAAATACTGTGCATTGGTCCTATGTCAAGTGTGTTAATTTTGTTGCTTAAATCCTCTATATTCTTTCCAATTTTTTCCTGTTTTATCAATTACTGAGAAGGATAGTGCTTGAAATTATTATCAGCACTGTGGATTTTTTCCAATTCTCCCTATAGTTTTGTTAATATTGCCTTCTCACAGTCTAGAGTTGTTTATTTAAGTGTTTAAATTTTTTTTATATTACTCATGAAATAACTATCATCATAACAGAACCTGTCCTTCTCTAGTGATGCCTTTTTTAATAACAGCTTTATTGAAATATGATTCATACGCCGTACAATTCTCCTATTTAAAGTGTGTGATTCATTGGTCTTTAGTATACTCACAGAGTTATGAATCACTATGTACAATTTTAGAACATCTTTTTGCCCCAAAATAAACCCTTTGCCTGTTAGCATTTACTCCTTGTTTCTCCTCAACCCCCCAAGCCCTCGACAACTACATTCTGTCTCTATGAATTTTCCTGTTTTGGACATTTCATGTAAATGGAATCATACAGTATGTGGGCTTTTGAGACTGGCTTCTTTCACTTAGAATAATGTTTTTGTCCATTTGCAGCATGTATCTGCACTTCATTTCATTTCACTGCCAAATAACATTCCACTGTATGAATATTCATATCATACTTTGTTGACCCATTCATCAGTTGATGGTCATTGGGTGGATTCTACTTTTTGACCATTATAAACACAATTTTACAATTATGAACTTAAGTTATTTATTACAAACATGCTGCTATGAATATTCATACAGAAGTTTTTTTTATATAAACATATATTTTCAGTTCTCTTGGGTATTCACCTAAGAGTGTGATTGCTGGGTCATATAATAACTCTATGAGAAACTGCTATTAACTGAGAAACTGCTAAATGGTTTTCCGAGGCAGCTACATTCTTTTACATTTCTACCAGCTGTGTTTGAGGGTTCCTTTTTCTCCACATCCTTCCCATCACTTATGTCAAAATATGTCTTTTTGATGGTAGCCATCCTAGTGGATATGAAGTAATATCCCATTGTGGTTTTGTTTTACATTTTTCTGTTGGCTAATAATGTTGAACATCTTTTCATTTGCTCATTGGCCATTTCTTTAAAGATGTCTATTCAGATCCCTTTTCTAAAAAAAAATTATTTGAGACAGAAAGAGCACAAGCAGGGAGGAGATGGAGAGGGAGAGGGAGAAGCCAACTCCCTGCTGAGCAGGGAACCTGACACAGGCTCGATCCCAGGACCTCGGGATCATGACCTGAGCCAAAGGCAGAGGCTTAACTGACTGAGCCACCCCGTCATCGCCTTTGAAAAAATATTTGCGTGGGATCTCCTGAAGCATAAGATGAAGATTTTTTTTCTCCAGACAAGATTTATGTTTGTTCCTACCAGGTGTCTTAGATAAATGTCAATCTCAAGCCACTTTATTTATTTATTTATTTTTTTATTTATGACAGTCACAGAGAGAGAGAGAGAGGCAGAGACACAGGCAGAGGCAGAAGCAGGCTCCATGCACCAGGAGCCCGACGTGGGATTCGATCCCGGGTTTCCAGGATCGCGCCCCAGGCCAAAGACAGGCGCCAAACCACTGCGCCACCCAGGGATCCCTCAAGCCACTTTAGGCTAAATTCATGGCTTACAGTATTTTTGAGGCCAGTTTTTGTTAGGACTGCCATTCCCAATGAGGATTAACACTTGGAAAAAAAAAAAAAAACACTTGGGTTCCTAGCACCAAGATAACTCTTCCAACAATCCCTTGTGAATGAGGGGAGGGAATATTGTTTATCCTTGTTCTTGCTTATCCTGAGTTTAACCCTTCAGGGTCCAAGCTTTGTGTGTTTATGTGTGCATGCAATGGCGGTGGAGGGGGCAGGAGAGGTCTATCCCATTCCCTACCTCTTAAGCCTTGGGCTTTGACTTTTATCCCTCTTGCTTAGGAGCTTGGCCGTCAATCCCTTAGTTAAATTTCATAATATTTTTTTTCCAGATAGGCCAATGCTATTAATACAAAAGTGTCTTGGGGCATATGCTTCTCCAGGCAAAGCCATCAAGTACTATTGTTCAGGTTATGTACTGCACATTCGCACCACGTCTAAGGGAGGACCATTCACCTACAGAGCTGTTCGTTGTGAAACATTTTTGTGTTTTTCTTGTAACTTTGGTTGCGAGGCTGAGGAATTGTTATATTTCTTATAGTTATTTTGCAGTTAATAAACAGTTGAAGTATTTTGCAGTTGATAGCAGTTGAAGTGATTCTAATTAAAGTATTATATTATGATAATTTTGCTACTGGACAGAAATGAAGTATCTCATTCTGACTGGGCTTTTTTCTCCCCTGCCTTTACCTTAAACTTGGTCAGGTTATCTAAGGCATTACTTCATCTCTACAGGAGGCTGCTAGGGACCACGGTGCTCCCCTCCTCCACTGTGATTTTCTTACCTAAAGCTCTCTTTTGCTTTCAGCCTCAGCTTCCACTGCTGCCTGAATTCATGTTCCCATTCCACTCATCTGTCACACATTTTTTGAGGCCTACTACATGCCCATATATTGATGTACTGCAGGAAGCCACGGTGCACCTGACATGGCCTCACTACCTCGCCCCATCCAGGAGAAATGGCAGCAGGCACAAATGAACTCATTGTGGGAAGGGCCTGATAATGTCCTGAGACAATAGGACAGAGAGAAGGGAATGGAGGAGAGCTGTGTGTGGGGTCACTCTAGGGCTGGGGCAGGCAGAAGAAGGGAGAGCTGAGACGTAAGTTAGTGCCCCAGACACCAACTGACCCAACTCAGGGGAGCCTAGGACACTGAGCCTTACCACATGATGTTTGTAAAATAGCTTTGAGAAAGGAAGATTTGAAGGGCTTATCCAGATAAACATGCCAGGGCAGATGGTAAATTTTTTTAAAAAAGAAGGCAGGAACAAAACACAGATTAAAACACCAAAGTTATTGTCATCATCTAGTCCCAGGGATGAGTGCAGTAGGGTATGTGCTGAGCTCAGCTCTTCAGGCAAGTGGGAAACTCCAGTTCTGACAGGTGTCTGCCACCAGACAGTGAGGTTAAATTCCCATGGCCCCTGGAGTAAGCCTGTGTTCATGCTTGTCCCCACACAGGGAAGCTGTTTGTGCTGGAGTCTCAGAATGGCTCTCATGGCCTAGAACTGGAGGTGGCTCGGCTTTCCTGCAGGAGCAGGGGAGCTCACCTGGTGTCTGCGGAAGAGCTGCGGAGGGTGGTCCAGGATTGTGCCTTTGCAGTGTGCACCACGGGCTGGTTGGCGGATGGCACCCTGGGGTAAGTCAGGTGTGCTGGGGAAAGTTCTCCTTCCCATTTGCCCCTGCTACCCCACCAGGGCTCCTAAGGGAGCTCAGTAATTGTATTATTGAGGTGCCAGCATAAGCAGAGTGCAATAGGCAGTGGCTTCCAGCACATTTGTGTTTTGAGTTCTCAAATAAAAACATTTTTTGTGGAGTTCTGTCACAGTTTTTCTCCCCTTTGTTATTTTGAATTTCCTTTTTAAGTTACAAAAATAATACATGCTTGTAAAAAATTTTCAAATAATGCAGATACATATAAAGCTGAAAGTGAGTTTCTCTCTTTTTCCCCACCTCGGCTAGTACATATTCTTTATCTCTTTTTTCTCTGTGGATATTCAGCTACATCCATATGAATAGGAGAATGGTATGGCCACAGATTCTTTCACATTACTCCCATTGAAAGGTGGGGTCTGTATCCTCTCTCTGTGAATTAGGGATAGCTTCCTATTGCCTTGGCCAGTAGAACACAGCAGGCCTGATACCATGTATCTTCTGGGGTTAGATTGGAAAAATCCATGCCCAGATTTCTGGGACACTTACTTTTGAGATATCATGTAAGACATTTGTCTATCCTGAGCAGGCCATGGCATGAGGAAGCTCAGGCCATGGGGAGTTGCCCTGCAAGGGTATCCCCACCAATAGCCCCCACCGGCATCCCAGGGCATAGCCAGCATTAGCTGCTAGAAATGTGAGTGAAGGTGCCTGTACATGATTCTCGCCCCCAGATGTTGAGTTCTCACCAGCCTATGAGTCTTCCCAGCTCAGGCCCTAGACATCAGAGAGTAGAGACCAGCCATACACACTGCGCCCTGAGTTCCTGACCTAAGGAATTCTTGTAGAGAAGTGATTCTTGGCCAGCTGGGAGAAAACTACCCATTAGTTCTGCTGTTTCTTTAGTCATACTCAGAAAAGGCAGGAGCCATTCCACTGTCTCCTTCATGCCACAGGAATGTGAAAGAGCAAAATGGGCTCCAACCACTTTGGCTGATAATAACCTTGAAGATGGACTGGCCAATGGCCATAGAAAACACACACAACCAGGCTGACTTGCATCTCCAGTGCTGCCACATGTGAAGCAGCAGCTGAATAAAGAGGACAACCAGGCTACATCTGAAGATTTTCAGTGACTCTGGAACCATGACCCTTTCTGCCTGACATTTTACGACCAGGTTCCTGAACGGACAAAATAGTCCTATGCACACAGTGTAGTCAAACGTGGATACTTCTCATAACTCTGTTATTATAATTGCATCAGATAACCAGGGTATTCAGGAATTTGGAAGAGTCAGCTTGGGGCCAGGTTTCTGTCTCTCAGGTCTTCAGAAAGGCCCACCCTCTCTGGGTTTGCTGTAAATGTTAGGACATATTAGTAGATGTCTACATTGCTGAGATGATATTCATTGTAGCAAACATCCTTATTTGATATATTTACCACACAACATGTTAAAAATAAAACTATTTTAATATTTCTGGAACCAAGAAGTATCTGATCATCACTATATACATTTCATTGTGGGTCTTTCTTACACAGCCATCCCCCCTCCACAGTGAAAACCAATTATTATATGAATGGTACATCTTGCAATTGATGGCATAGTAAACATATAGTAGATCTGATCTATATGTCTATGAATTTATGTTGAGTGTACACAAAAATCCAGAGAAGGATGGAGGCCTAGAATGGTAAATACAGAATTGGGAGCCACTTGCCTCCTAGAAGCTTTTGCGATTCCCTAAAGGATGACTGAAAAAACAGTAGCAATATAGATAGCCTAATAGGACTAGGACAGAGATTTGAATTCAGGTTTTGTGTAGGCAAAACCTACACACGGCCTGCAGAGTCCTTTGCTTTGGGCTGGGACGTTACAGGGCTATAGCCCAGGAGTGAGAGTAAACTAGAAGTATATAGGCCCTCATAGGAGCTGTAGCATAGCTTAAAATCCTCAGGACCCATGAATGTGGACTGAGATGATACTGGAGCTCCTGTGTTCCAGATAGCTTCAGAACTGATTATTAAAATACTCTCTAGAAGAGGATAATGTTATCCTAGGCAATTTATTTCCACAAAAAAACTTTTAGAAGAGAGGATTTGTCACACAATATAAAATAACCAATAACACAGGGAAATAAGACAACCAGAATAAAGATAGCGGATAGAAACTCTAAATATCAGCATTGGTAGACTTTAACTTTTTCAAATGTTCAAAGATACAGAAGACAATAAGGAGAATTTTGGCCAAAGACTGAAACTATGAAAAAACTGTATGGAATCTCTAGAAGTGAAACATACAATAACTAAAATTAAGAGGATAATGGATGGATCTAATCTTTTAAAAATCTTTTTATTTAAAAACACATTTTAAGTATGTTAATACATAGTATTTTAAGTATTTTTAAGTTGTACTGTTGAAGAGGGTAAAAGTAATATTAAATATTAATAAGTCATAACCACTAAAAGAATAGTAAGAGAATATATAACTTCCAGACCAATATGAAAAAGAGAATGCCAAAAAAGAAAAAAGAGGGGAAAGACAAGAGAGAAAGAAAGGATGTGCAGAACTAACAGAAAGACGGCGGATTTTTTTTTCTTTTTTTATGATAGTCACAGAGAGAGAGAGAGAGAGAGGCAGAGACACAGGCAGAGGGAGAAGCAGGCTCCATGCAGGGAGCCCGACGTGGGATTCGACCCCAGGTCTCCAGGATCGCACCCTGGGCCGAAGGCAGGTGCTAAACCGCTGCGCCACCCAGGGATCCCTAACCATAGCTCTTTGAATTAAAATCCACAGTCTTGGGATCTTGCCAAAGATATCCCTAAATAAGTTATGGGACAAACATAAGTTATGGTTTGTTAAATAGCACGGATGTAGAACTGAATGACATTAAAACTATAACATACTCAAACTCATAAGATGCTGCTAAAGCTGAACCTAGAGGGAAATGTAAGACAGACATTTAGGTGCTGGTGATAGAAAAGAGAAAAGGCTAAAGGTTTCTGAACTAAGTAATGATCCATTTTAAGAAATATAAAAAAGAACATGGGGCGCCTGGGTGGCTCAGCAGTTGAGCATCTGCCATTCTGCTCAGGTCATGATCCCAGGGTCCTGGGATCGAGTCCTGCATCAGGTTCTCCACAAGAAGCCTGCTTCTCCCTCTGCCTATGTCTCTGCCACTCTCTCTGTGTCTCATGAATAAATAAATAAGTAAAATATTTTTACAAATATTAAAAAGAACAGAAAAAAATAGACCCCTGCAAGAAGAAAGGAACTGATAAGAAGAGCAGCATTTTGTGAAATAAACACACACTGGAAAAGGTCAACAATGCACTGCTTCTAACTCTTGAACTGATATGTGTGGCCTCAACTGAAGCATCATCTGTGTCTTCCTGATTATAGGGCTCTGTTTGGGGAGAGTACTTCCCTGTGGATGCTTTCAGCCAAAGATCCTAACTCAGGAAAATCTCTGCTGACTCAGAACTGACAGCAGAAAAGAACTGTTCTTTCCTATCTTCCATTGGTCCTCCTAGCACAGTGTCTTCTTTGTCTGTTTCAGGACAACCGTGTGTAGCAAGGAGAGTGATGAACAGCAAATCACGAGAGCCGTTGATGTGAGAATTGAAGGCAACCCAGTTCCCGGTGGCACATACAATGCACTTTGTATTAAGGATGAAGGTTAGTGCCAGAGCCTTTGCAAAGGTTCTGGAGGTTGCACATGGTGGCCCCGTCTTAGGTTGCATTCTCCAGAGACAGACCTTGGAATGAGGAGATCCTCCAAAGAAAAGCCAATAGAGCAGTAGGGTAGTGGGCAGAGAAAGGAAGCAGACTGAGTGGTGGTGCAGTACTAAGCAAAGTCCACAGTGACGGTGAGGTGGTGCAGTTCTAAACGAAGTCCACAGTGACAGTGAGGACAAATCTTGGCTCAGTCCTACAGGAGATCTTTGGAGACAGTGTAGGTCACCAGTTTTTCTGTCCTGAGGTGAGAGAGCAGGGGTATTTACACCACTGCACTGTTAGTCATTGCTTAGGGGCCAATGTCAGGGAGATGTATATTCCCAGGCACTTCTGGTTTATGTGTGCTGGCAAAGGATTCCAGTAGCCTGAGTGCCACCCTCCAACAAAGATGCACAGACGCCTACCAGGAACCCCTGTGCATGGAAATGGCAAAGGTATCTAGGCAATATGGGGCAAACCCTTGACAGCATCTCCTACAGTTGCTGATACAGCCTGTCCTGCAGTCTTTCTTCATGGTGGGTGGCACATTAACAAGGAAAAAAAAATCATTTTTCCCCAAAAGGAAACTTAACAGGATTTAAGAAACTTCTCCTAGGAAGGGGAATTCAGCTTCCCTCTGGTAAATCAGCCCAGTGGCAAGAAGAAAGCCATAAAGGAGTCTCCAGGTCAGCATTTCATATGCATTGAAATCAGTATACTGTCCTCAGCAGAAACACATGCTGTTGAAAGGGAATGTCCATACAAATGGAAAGAAAGCCAGCTGCTTAGTCTTCAGGCCTAGAAATCAGCATAAGTACTCCTTGGCTGTATACTGGTCTCTTCTGGGAAGTTTTAAGAAATACTGATTCCTGGGTGCCAGTCCTAAAGATTCAGATATAAATGTTCTGGGCATTAGGTTTTTTTGTTTGTTTGTTTGTTTTTGTTTTTGTTTTTGTTTTGTTTTGTTTTTTGCATTAGGGTTTTTTAAAGCTCATTAGTGATCTTAACACATAGCCCAGTTTGAAAACTACTTTTTAATGTAGAGTTTCCCAAACCTCTCTGATGATGAGAAATACCAAATGAACTTGTAAGAAATACCCTCAGGCTGTATCCTAGAGGCATCCAATCCTAATCCCTGGGGAAGAGGTCAGAAGAGTTGGGAAATGAGGGAGTCTGGTGAACCCCAAGGCCTTGGCTGGTGCTTGTTAGATGCTTATCAGTGACAGGCTTCTCTGCTCCTGTGGCGTTTTCCTCCAGAAAGGCTTCATTTTCTCATTGCTATGGAAGAGTATGTTGAGAAAGTCTCCTGGTATCTACCCCGTCAAGCTACTGAATGATGTGGCCTTGCTCTGTAAGGCTTTGGGAGAATAATATCCATGGCTTGTTTTCTAAAACCACGTAAGTTAATTAAAATGATCCTTTGAGTCCCAGACATAGGCAAAATTCAGACCTGAGAGAGAAAGGACAGAGCCAGAGGGAAAAGAACATGATCTTATTTCTTCACTGATTTCAATGAATATGTGGGGTTTCTGAGTCTTCATTTTCCCTGATAAACAAGAGGTATCAGTTAGCTTTTGCCATGTAACATATGTAACATAGTGGCTTAAAACAACTGTTTATTTAGTTCACTTTTTTTGCATCAGCAGTTTGTGTTTTTCTGCTGGTCTTGGCTGGACTCATTACAGAGTCTATAGGCAGCTGCTGTCTAGGTGGCCTTGCTTCTGGGAGTTGGTGGCTATTGGCCAGGGTGCTGAGGGTCACTGAGCTATATGTTCATCATCATCCAACAAGATAGCCTGGGCTTTCCACCTCACAGGCCTTGAGACAGGTTATGTCCACACAAGTGTGTGCCCCTTTTGCCCTCAATTATAGTGCATGAAGCCAGAGGTTGGAAACATTTATTCATATTCTATAGGGCACCAAGCTCAAAGCCATGATAGCAACTCCAGAATTGAGTTTTTGCAAAACTTATATAATGTGCCTTCTGATATACTGCACTCAGAGGAACTCAACTTCAGTTCAGTGGTACTTCTGCCAAAAATGCATAACTTGAATCTACTCAGGGGGAAATATGAGCAAAACTCAATTTGAGAAACATTCTACAAAATGGCTTTAAAAAATATCTAGGATGAGAAAGGCAAAGTGACTCTTCTAGATTAAAATAGACCAAAAAGACTTGATAATAAAATACAAAATGTGATTTCATGATCGGGGATTGTATCCCCAACCAGAAAAAAAATAGCAATAGTTGATAAAATCTGAATGTGGATTATGACTTAGATAATAGTGTAATAACTGTACTACAGGCCTGTAAAAAATTATCTTTGTTCTTGGAAATGTGTATCAAGGTTTTAGGGATGAGGAGACATTGTATCTACAACTCACTATCAAATGGTTCAGAAAAGAATTACAGGTATAGATATAGGTGTATACATATTTGTCTCTGTATAAATAGATATCTATATTATCCATCTGGAGAGAGAGAGAGAGAGAGAGAGAGAGAGAGAGATGAGTGATAAAGCAAATGGGCAAAAATGAAAACACACTGGTGAATCTGGATAAATGGTTTTATGGGAAATCCTTATTCTCACAACCTTTCTGAAATTTTGAAATTATATAAAAATGAAAAATTTCCAACAAAGAACGGTCTATGTACTGCTCCAAAAACAACAATAACAGCAATAGGAAAAACAAAAACAGTCTGAATCGTGGGAACCAACCTGGGAAGCCAGTTCATGACAGCTGCTCACCTATATGAGGAGCAATGCCACCATGTGTGGCTCATTAGAGTCAAAGTGCTCCAGAGCCCTGCCTCCAAGAGCAGCTTGTGTGAGCCTCCAGTGGCCTCCCCTCACCTCCACCTCAATGGGGATGAGTTCATATGGGGAAGACTGGAATCTTGGTCCTACAGGCCTGATTTATGAGGAGGCTTCAGATGAGCCATGAAGAGGACTCAGGTATGCATACCGAGAGGAGATTTGGGTTGGAGGGCTGTTCTCTCTCGAACATTCTGGAAAAGTAGGAGGGATTCCCCAAAGTCACTCAGAGAGAGTGAATCCCTGTTCAGTGCTGCCTTTCATCCTTTGGAAAGAGCTTGTAAACCACTCCCATACAGCCCTCCGCCCACCTCAGAGGAGCGTTGCTTTTCCTCAGTGGAGCCTTTGTTGACAGCACGGTCAACAAGGGACATCTGTGTGCTGAAGGAAGGTGTAGGTGAAGTGTGGCTCAGCATGCGTGCCTGTGCAGGATCATCTCCTCAGGTCGCCTGAACTCTGTACTGCTGCTTCTCTTTGGCAAGATGGGAAGAATGTAGCGCGTTAACTCCAAAAATGGCAGGCTTGTGCCTCGTAAAGAGCCCAGAAGGAAAACAGAGCCTGTGGAATATCCAGGCAGCTTCCTTCCTGTGTTTCTCTTTTGAAATAAAGCTCATCACGAATGTAGACTTTTCTCATTTTCCTTCCAGTATTTTTGTTTCCCTGACAGTGAATTTCCAGCCCTGTGGTGATCTCACTTAAACTAATAAGTGAAGTTATTTTTAACCAACTAGATGCTGATGAAATAAGTTGCCTCCACTTGTGTTCTCTGGCTTTGCTTCTCTTGGTGGCTTGTCTGTGGGGTCAACTGCATGGGGTCTGGAGTCTCCTCTTGCCTTCTCCCTGTGGCACCCCCAAGGCTCCATGTCAAGTATGCTTCTGTTCCTCCTTGGGCCTGGCTGCACTTCCCACCAGCCCACCTCACCTGAGTGCCACTTCCCTGCATACTTTACTGTTGCCTGTATTTCCCTAAAAACAGAAAAGGAATTATTCCCTTCTTTTGTGTCATCAATTAGAGAGCCGGATGCTCACCTTTTTGAGAGCAAAAAAGACTTGTGGGTGCTTGAGAGAGAGAGAGAGAGAGAGAGAGAGAGAGAGAGAGAGAGGAAGGACCCATGGCCACCCTCAAGGAGTTGATGATGATATATAAGAATAAGTGAGAAATGAATGTGTTCCCATGACACAAAGGAAGGAGGGTAATTAGGGAGATTCCTGAGGTGGGGGCCGTCGAGGTAGAATTGAAAGGAGTCTGTTTTGAAGGGATAACAGGGAAGGGAAGAGAAGACATTGCAGACAGAGAGAACAGGTGGGGCAACAGCTTGAAGCATAGGTCCCAGTGGTTCCAGGGAGACTAGCTCTGGGAGAGCCATTGTACTAGTGCTTCAGGGAGTGAATTGGGTTCAGTACACCCCTGGGGGCCCAAGTAGCAGCGGAGCAGGACTGAGGTCCCCACAGCAGGTAAGCAGTGATGCCCCCTCCTCTGCCACGCGCATCCCCAGACCTAGACAGCATCAGGTCTTGCTTTCCCAAGACTGAGATCTTCCATTCCAAAAACTTAGGCTAGAACAGTCCTGATGCACAGCCAGTTCCCAGGGATGGTAGGTGTCTGGGCAGCCAGAGAAATTGTGCCAGTGGGTTCTTAACCCCTGGGGTAGATAACTGTGATCTTTGTGACCTGGGGCTATAGGCACCAGCAATCTGACAGACTTCTCTGCTTCCTTGCTACTCAGAAGAGCTGCAGCTGCACTCAGAACCCTTTGGCGCATGTAGGGAGACTGTGCCTGTATGCATTGTGAGGAGGAGCCCAAAGTCTTGCCTCACAGACACACACGTGAGCTCCCAGAGCTGAGCACTCCAGTGGCAACTTTGCTCTCGGGGTTCTTGGAGGCACTTAACTGTGCACTGTTCCACAGCAGCCTCTAGACCAGTCAGAGTCACTTAGTGACCATCTGTCATTAGCTCTCCTAGAGTGTCCTGGAGAAAGTTCTGGAGAAAGAGAACCTAGAGCAAGGTGTACTCCAAAGGGAGCAGCAAAGGCTACATGAAGACTTACAGGATATCATCAGAAGGGTTTATAATACGTCTCTCAATCCTCCAGCAGCTTGTACAGGCCTACGCAGTGACAAACCACCTAAGCCATAGTTAGCA